CGGCTGCCGTGTTTCGCTCGCCGCGGGACGAACCGCGAGTGCGAGAGAGACGGGCCACGGACATCGGTTGCCGGGGCCGCGCTCGTGTCTCTCGCTCGCCTGCGGGACGCCCTGCGAGTGCGAGAGAGACAGGGCCACGGACATCGGCTTGCCGGCGCCGCGCTGCCGTGTCTCTCGCTCCCCTGCGGACGCCTGCGAGCGGAGAGACAGGGCCACGGCATCGGCTTGCGGCGCCGCGCTGTCGTGTCTCTCGCTCGCCTGCGGGACGCCCTGCGAGTGCGAGAGAGACAGGGCCACGGACATCGGCTTGCCGGCGCCGCGCTGTCGTGTCTCTCGCTCGCCTGCGGGACGCCCTGCGAGTGCGAGAGAGACAGGGCCACGGACATCGGCTTGCCGGCGCCGCGCTGTCGTGTCTCTCGCTCGCCTGCGGGACGCCCTGCGAGTGCGAGAGAGACAGGGCCACGGACATCGGCTTGCCGGCGCCGCGCTGCCGTCGCGGCCTGGAATTATTCCTCATCGATTGGTGCCGCTCCCCGAGCAGGCGATGCAGCAGGACGGGTACGTCCGGCAGGGGCGCAACCAGGCCTCGCACAGCGCGCCGCGGCTTGGGGCCGCGATGGGTGACACGATGCCGTCGCGACGCCCCGCCCTGCCGCTCCGCTCGCCCCGCTCAAAGTGGATTTGCCAGAAGGCCGGCGCCGGCGGCCAAAACTACAGATTCGTTAAACAGGCCTCGAACCGAACGTATGACCCACACCAATGGACTCTTCGTTTGGGGAGCAATCCATTGGTGGGGTCACACGTTCGGTTCAAGTCCCATTTGGCTCAAAACGTGTCCGGGATTTTGACCGCCTCTGCCGGTCTTTTGGCAAATCCACTGTGTGCTCTGGGCTCGGCTTGCCTCGCGCGAAATAAAGGAAAATAATTTCGGGGCTGAAAGCGGACCGTAAAGACAGCGACCCGGCGGCACTGCCGGCAGCGCTCATTTCTAGGCGGCACGCTAAGCACTACGGCAGGTGGGGCTGCCACTTAACCTCCGTGACGCTGGCGTGTCGCCTGGAGGCGTGGCGGCGGGGCGGGGCGGGGCGGCGAGGCGCGGCGGCGAGGCCGCTGGAGGCACTGCCAGGCAGGCGGCCCGGGGCGCAACCCTTTGGGCAAGGTGGTGCCGCGTGGAGCGCTGGGCGTCGCCTGCCTGGCAGTGCCTCGCCATGCCTCGCCTCCTGTTCCCTGCCGTGCCGCCGCGCCAGAGAGGATGTGGACCAAATTTAGGTGGAATTCCCGCCTCCCCCTCATTCTCTCTTTACCCCTGCAAGGCCCGCCCGCCACGGCCCGTGCCTCATCTCGCACTTTTATGCGTACCTGAGCCGTAAATCCGAGGACGTAGTTGCGCCTCTGGCGGCACCCCGCCACGCCCCGCCCCGCCACGCCCCGCCACGCCCCGCCACGCCCCAAAGCGTTTCTCTCCCTCTGACATTCTTTTCTGGCTGCTCGGTATATTTCCGCCTTGCCTTGCAGAGGTTCGGCGGTGCAGTAAAACGGGGAAATTAGCGGCAGGTGTGGGAAGGGTTGGCAGTGGTTGGCGCGGGCGGGTAGCAGTGGCGCGGGCGAGTGGCGCCTTCTTTCCGGTGCAGCAGATCTCCGGGATCGGGCCGAACTAAGAGTCCCCAGCCATCTGCACAGACTGTGTGCGCCTCTCCCGCTTTTCCGGAGCAGTCTCTCAGTCTCTCTTCGTCCGGCCGGTCGGAAGTCCCTGGCTTTCCCTCGGCCGAGAACGTTCTTTGAAAGCTAGCGCTCTCTCTCTCTCGCTCTCCCTCTCTCTCTCTCTCTCCGAATTTTATTCTCGGCGCGTGTCCTCGACGGTGCCCTGCTTGGACTGGGCCGTTGTGATTGGCTTTTCATTTTCGGGAAAGTGCGCACGCGGAGCTTTCCGCGAAGGCATCTACGGCTTGAAAGGAAGAAATCGGGAAATGCCTTCCTGCGTGGAATTATTCCAATAACGCGACGCGGCGGCGAAGGACCAGGGAAGGACCAGGCAAGGCCAGGAACCGCGGAGGGCGAGGCGCCGCGGTGGCTGATGAATTATTAGCCGCCATTATGAGCTGCCGGAGGATGCTGGAGGATGCTGGAGGATGCTGGAGGCGGCCGCTGGAACGCGGCGTATCGCCGCAACTCGCTGAGCCGAGCGACATTTAGTGACCCCCAGGCACCCCCGAGGCGCGGGGTAGCGCCGGGTAATCGCCTCATCACTTTTGAACGAGTTGGCGCGGGCCCGGCCGGCGCGGCGGAGATGCGTCCATTTCCTCGGGTGTGAAAGTTTCACGCAGAAGGGGCGCGGCCCTCACTTATGTAGCTGATGCGGGGCTGTAAGGCGCTGCCTGCCGGCCTGGCTGCCGGCCTGGCGGGGCGGCGCGGGACTTTTCATTAGAGTTTGCGGTAAAGAGTCGGCGTGTACAAAGGGCAGGTGGGCGTCCCCCGTCCCTCCCAGAGTCTGGGGCCCAGACCGCCCGGGCCCAAGCCCCGCAGCCCCGCAGCCCCGCAGCCCGGACCCTCGTCCCGCCGTGCCACCACACCTGCAAGTTGCGACCCCGGCCGGACAGAGCGGCGCGCCGCCCGGACCCCGCCGACCAACTTCGGCCGCCCCACCCGACCCGGTCCTGCCTTGGAGCCCTGCGTCGTCTCCGTCGCTCCGTCTCTGTCGCACTCTGTGCGTGCCCTATGGGTGCGACAGAGACAGAAGAGTGGAAACGGATCTCGGGGTCGGGGCCGGTCGGGGCCGGTCGGGGCCGGTCGGGGCCCGTCGGGCTGCAGGACCGCCCCGTCCGTCACCGAGGCCCCAAACGGGGCGCGCCGCGCACGCAGCACGCCGCGCCGCCCGCGCCGGTGTGTGTCTTTGGAAGCGCCGGCGGCGGGGAACGGAAAAACTTTGCGGATCACCGTGGAAATATTACGATTGCATTTGGCAAAAGTTTGTGTAACCAAGCCGCGGCGTGGCGTCTCCTGCGCGACGGCCAGACGGCGACCTGGTTGGCCTTCGCGCCCCGCCCCGCCCCGCCCCGCCCCCCCCCCGCGGCATCCCAGCCACTCGGCTCGCATTTTTTCGCGCGGCCGCAATTTCCCTCGGAGCGGCGCCTTGGCGGCGGCGCCCTCGCGGGCCAAGCTGCGCTTTCGTCGCTCTGTCTCTCTCGCACCCCTACGGCCCGGCCCGTGAGTGCGAGGGAGACAGAGAAGCGCTGTTCGGAATGTGCCGCCTGCCCCGGCCGCCCTTTGCTCGCGTGAATTATTAGTGATGTCAACGCGGAGCGCGGAGCTTAGCGGCCTGCCCATTTAAGCCCTTTCTGCCCCGGGCACTCTGTTCGCCCTGTTCACTCTGTTCGCCCCAAACCACATCAAGGCGCCAGCGCGCGCAGCCGTAAGAGCAGAAGCCCTCCTTCGCTAGCCGCGCGGCCCCGGGGCCTCACCTCACGCCGCGCCTCACGCCGCCTTCAAGTAGCCCCAGAGGCTGGAGAGGAGAGGCAACTCCTTAATGTATTCGGGCCAAAGGCGCATTCTCCCTCCGTGGCCGCCGTGGCCGCCCTTGACTCTGTATGTGTGTGTGTGTGTGTGTGTGTGTGAGTGAGTGAGTGAGTGAGTGAGTGAGTGAGTGAGTGAGTGAGTGAGTGAGTGAGTGAGTGAGTGAGTGAGTGTGAGCGTGTGAGTGAGTGAGTGAGTGAGTGAGTGAGTGAGTGAGTGAGTGAGTGAGTGAGTGAGTGAGTGAGTGAGTGAGTGAGTGAGTGAGTGAGTGAGAATTGCGGTGAAAAGGATATGCCCTCGTAAAACGAACAAATTAAAACTTGTATAGTTTTTATTAGTTTTTTAGTAAATTTTGTTAAATTTTAAAAATTGAATTAAATTTGACTAAACTTAAGTATTTTTAATTAATTTTCATTTGCAAAACTAAAATTTGTTAATCTTTGTAAGCTGCATTTATTCAATTTAATTTAAGATTTAATCAAAGCAGCTTACAAAGATTAACAAATTTTAGTTTTGCAAATGAAAATTAATTAAAAATACTTAAGTTTAGTCAAATTTAATTCAATTTTTAAAATTTAACAAAATTTACTAAAAAACTAATAAAAACTATACAAGTTTTAATTTGTTCGTTTTACGAGGGTGATTCTAAGATGCAGGATGCAGCAGATTTAGCGCCTGGCAGGTAGGCCTCCTGGTCTTCTTCAGCGCGTAGCGGTGGTGCGTGTTGCCTATGCTGGAGTTCGCAGGCGCCTCGAACTGGCTGTCTTCTTCTTTAGTTTTGGGATTTGGATTAAAAATTGAATGGGTCGGATTGGTTGTGAGGGTTGTAAAATAAGTGAGGTTGGGAAAAATTTAGAAAAGAAGAGAGAGCGACAGAGAGAGGGGGGAGGAAGGGAGGAGGGATGGGGCGCCCGGAGCGCGTGGCACGCGGCGTGGCGCCAGCAATGCTTCTCAATCGACAGACTTGTCATGTCGCCAGCCGGAGCGCCGCGCCCCGAATCGCTTGCCGCTCGCCGTCTTAATATTTTGCTCGTTCCGCTTGTCGCCACTTGATCTCTCTCTTTTCCGCGAGGCGTGTTGTGTAGTGCTGCTGTGTTTTTCCCTTTATCTCCGCCCGACTTAAATCACGTCGTCAACAAGTGCGTGCAGCGCCACGCCTCGCCACGCCACGCGAAGCAGTCGATAAATTGCCGTGTCGCAGATTGCAGAATGATTGCCGTCACGGGTTCAACCCCACCCCGCCGCTTACTCCTTACGCCTTCCTCGTCTTTTTAATGCACCAGTTGCCTTCCTCAGTGTACTTACACGGCAAAACCTGTTCGTGATTTTTCCAGGAACTCTCTGAAAATCGCCCATAGCTTTGCCATATGCTTTATGGGAAAGCAAGAAACCATTTTTGCGTTGTGTACGCGCGAAAAAGGAATATGTCACTGACGGCCGCCGGCATTTGAACCCTCGACTAACGTCGTGCCTTCTTGTTTGTGCTGCAGGTGCCCGGCCGGATGCCAGCGAATGTGAGCGAGACGTGACGCGCCCCGCCTGCTTCGCCATGGCCTCCACGACGGCCTCCACGACCGCCATGTCCGCGCTCACGGCGGCCGCCCTGCTGCTGGCCGTGCTGGCCCGGCCCGCGGCCTGCACTGTGGAGCAACTGGCGCCAGGTGAGTACGCACTCTCTGAAAATCTCTTAGTGAAGATTCCCCGTAATATAGTCGAGATTATCCATATCATCGTGAGGGAAGTGTAATAGTTTGAAGATTCTCCATGTTATTGTGAAAATTTTCTTTGTGATGGTGGCGCGGCTGTCATGATAACTAACCTCTGAAAGTTCATTTCACTCTATGGACTTGACGACAGTGTAGTGCAGCGCGACGCACGGCTCTGAAATTTCCCATGCGGAATTGTCTGTTGAAATTATGTAAACCTGCGCCCTCGGTGAGCGAGCCGAGCAACATTCCCCGGTGTGCTGCCGCGCCGCCGCGCTCACGCCCGGAGTGCTGGCCGGCCGGCCCCGGGCCCGGGCTGCGTGGTCCGCTCCCTTTTCTAATTACGACGGGAATACCTCGCGAGTTCCCGCGCTGCAGGCGGGGCGGGGCGGGGCGGAGGGTTCGCGGGGCACGGGAGGATAGCGGCGGGGTCTAATCAAGAGTGTGCCTCTGTGCCGAGAGCGGGCCGGGACCTCGGCCGGGGCAGCAGCAGCGCAGCACAGTGACCTGCTGGCATCCAAGGGCCGTTTTAGAGAGGGGTTCGGGCAGGCGTTGTCGCAAACGTTGCTTACTTACTGGGGCGAAGCACGATGTTTTGCCCACCTTCCAGTCGTCCCCTAACGCTCAGGGCGGGCCGCCCAGGCGCCACCCGGCCGTGTGTTCTGCTTATCCCGTTACAGGTTCGCAGTTCGCTCGGCCGGGCCTCGGATCGCGCCTCGTAATCAGTCCGGCCCTATCTCATTCTATCGCCACCCCGGCATGGCCTGCCACGGCACGGCGCGGCACGTGTATATATCTAAATATCCCGGCAGGGCGGCGGCAGCGAGCAGGCTCAGCCAATTACAGCCGACCTTAGGAATTTACTGGCGCGAGGTGTGATCGCGATCGCGGAGCACGCTCGTCGCTGTGTCTCTCTCGCACCCACAGGCCGCTCCGAAGGGTTCCGAAGGGGTGCGAGAGAGACAGAGCGACGGCAGCCCCGCTCGGGATCCTCCTGCCGGGGTGCGGAGGCATGGCGCGGGCAAGGCGGAGGGGCGCGCTGCGCTGAGCCGCCTGAATCGCTAAGACGCTGGGAGGGCGGCCGGCGCCTCCACTGCCTCCACGGTGGCGGCCCACGGCGGCCCAAGGCAGCCCAAGCCTCGGTGCAGCGCTAATCTCCGCCAGTATAAATATTGGATGCCGCGGTGGCGGGCCAGGAGGGCCGAGGCCGACTGATTCCGAGTGTCGTTTTCGTCGTTCTGTCTCTCTCGCACTCTTGGGGCGTCCCGTGTAGGTGCGAAAGAGACGGAGAGACGAAAAAGACTGTCGGAGTCAGTCTGCCGCTTCCGTGCCGTCTGCCGCGCGCCGCTTCGCCTTGTCGACTGCAGTGCGCTGGTGCGGGTCCCGTGCGGGTCGTGGCGGCGCTGGTGGTGGCCTGGCCAGCGCGGTCAGAGGCCCTCTGATGCGGTTCGATTGGTATCAGTATCAATTCCGGGTGCACCGCGCGCTATCACTGTGTCCGGGGCGGGGCGGGGCGGGGCGGGGCGCAGTGGCACCGTCCCCATTACATGCACATACATACCCGACACCAATCTTGGTCGTTATCGCGCCTCGTTCTGCGTGTGCGACGGTGTGCGCGTGTGTATGTGTGCGTGTGTGCACCTGTGTGTGTGCGTGGCCCGTTTTCCCCGGCACTGCGCACGCCGCAGCATAGTCGTATAACGTTGCGCTTCGCGGTTTCAATATTATTATTTTCCGCCGATCCGCTCCGCCCGCTGGCCCCTGGCTGCCCGCGCTCGCCACCCATTGTGATTGTTAATCGTTGTGCCGGGAGCTCCCCTCCCCCGCCCTGATCCATTGTTCGGCCCGGGGGTACGACAGGGAGTGAGTAAAGGGGCCCACCGCCCCCTGCCCCCCCCCCTCGCCCGGAGCGCAGCGGCGCGAGCCACAGCTTTCTGTCGGCGCGACATGGCCACGCCCTGCCACGCCACGCCCCGCCACGCCCCCCGACATCCTCGTTTCGTCCCAAATTAATTCCCGGCTCGACGGAGTGAAAAATGCATTCGTGCGAAATGGGCGGAAACGCGAGCGCGCCGGACGGGCGCGTTTTCCGTTTTTCGGACCGCGTGGCGTCGCGGCTGGTCTACCCCTTGGTCTGACCCGACCCTTGGTCTGACCCGACCCTTGGTCTGACCCGACCCTTGGTCTGACCCGACCCTTGGTCTGACCCGACCCTTGGTCTGACCCGACCCTTGGTCTGACCCGACCCTTGGTCTGACCCGACCCTTGGTCTGACCCGACCCTTGGTCTGACCCGACCCTTGGTCTGACCCGACCCTTGGTCTGACCCGACCCTTGGTCTGACCCGACCCTTGGTCTGACCCGACCCTTGGTCTGACCCGACCCTTGGTCTGACCCGACCCTTGGTCTGACCCGACCCTTGGTCTGACCCGACCCTTGGTCTGACCCGACCCTTGGTCTGACCCGACCCTTGGTCTGACCCGACCCTTGGTCTGACCCGACCCTTGGTCTGACCCGACCCTTGGTCTGACCCGACCCTTGGTCTGACCCGACCCTTGGTCTGACCCGACCCTTGGTCTGACCCGACCCTTGGTCTGACCCGACCCTTGGTCTGACCCGACCCTTGGTCTGACCCGACCCTTGGTCTGACCCGACCCTTGGTCTGACCCGACCCTTGGTCTGACCCGACCCTTGGTCTGACCCGACCCTTGGTCTGACCCGACCCTTGGTCTGACCCGCCTGGGTTCTGGCTGCCAGTGTGGCAGTGTCGAGGCCTCGGTCGAGGCCAAGGCAGTGACCCTCGACCTCACCCACTCTCGTCTCACCTTCCCAGCCTATCCTATCCAGTGGGCCGCCACACGACGCTCGCTTCTCTCGCCCATTTTTCTCCGGTCCGCATATTCATTCCGCTCGGCGCGCTGGCGGCGGTGTCGTGGTGCCGCCCCACCCCCTCTCTCCCTTCGCCCCCCTCGCTCTATCTTTCTTCTCTCGCTCTGCCTCTCTCCGCATCGGCACGCCTTGTGACAGCGCTGTCTGTCGGGGCGGCGCATCTTGGAACTGAGTTACGGTTTGTAATTCCGAGGAGGCGCATGGAATAACACGTAAAAGTAACTCGCGAATTAAAGTGTGTATGTGTAAGAGGGAAGGGAGGGTCTGGTAAGAGAGGATAGGGAGCGAGAGAGAGGGGAGGGAGAGAGATGAGGGACAGAGAGGGAGTGAGTCTTATTACCACCGAGGGCATGCCAACTGCCGGTGCCGCCTCACCTGTGTCTCTTTCATTTCTGTCGCCGTGCCGCCGCCGGGTGGAGCACGGTGGAGCAGCAATGGCGCTTCATCGGCACACTGCCAGTGTGCTGCCAGCGAGTGGCGCCCTTCGCTTTGTGTCGGGGGCGCAGCCCCTCACTGTAAAAGGATCGCTTTCGTTCATAATTGAACCGCGAAATGCGGCGGCTGGAGAACGAACTGCTTTGCGTTGCGGTCTCCACTCGAGACTGACTCCAGACAGACTCCAGACAGAGAGTGGGCAGAATACAGGCAGGCTCCAGGCGGGCCTCGTCAGACTCCAGCCAGAGTCCGGGCTGACTCCAGCCGACCTCAGCCAGACTCCAGCCAGAGCTAGACTCCAGCCAAACTCAAGTCAGACTCCAGCCTGACCCCAGCCAGACTCTAGCCAGACTCCAGCCAGATGCTCCCGACTCAAAGACACAATGCGGGGCTTTCAAACGCGTGCGCGACGACGGCGAAGGGCGTCGGCACGTCCTGGGCGCAGACACGCGCCTTGCTCACTCACTCACACACACGCGCGCGCGCACTCGTGTATCAAACAAGTGTACGCCTGTGTGTTTGTAGGAGAGCTCCGCGTGTCTTGTTCGAGAATAAAGTACCGAGCAACTTTTGCGACGCCGCCGCTGCCGTCGCCAATCGCGCGTGCGGGAAAGGGAGAGGGGAGGGGGCCACAGCAGGCTGCTCCAGAACAGTGTCTCTCTCGCACTCATGTGAACCGTGCCTAAAGGGTCCGAGAGAGAGAGAGAGAGAGAGAGAGAGAGAGAGAGAGAGACCGTTGCAAGGGTAGCTGGCTGCCGCACGTGGCGTCGCGGTCCAAGTCGCAAGACGCGGCTACTTTCAATCCCACCGGGGCCCCACCTAGCCGTGCTAGCGCGGGGCCCCGATTTTCCGCACGATTGACCTTCGGCCGGGTGGGCCTGGCGGCCTGGCTGGTGGGCTGGGTTGGCCCCATGCCGATTCCGAACAGTGCTTTTGTCGCCGTCTCGCTCGCACCTCCGGCATTTCCTGTGAGTGCGAGGGAGACGGGGCGACGAGGGCGGCTGGTGTTGTTCCAGACTTGGGCCCCTTGCATTAGCATCACTCTTTCCCTCCGCTTGGCCGGCCTGCCTGCTTGCCGCGGCTTGCCGGCTCAATGAGACAAGTGAGTCTCCGGAATCTACAGTGCCCCGGCCGGCTGCCTGGCTGGCCGCAGACTCTGCCTCGCCGCCGCTGCTTCGATTCGCCCGGATTCGCCCTCCTTCCCGCTGCTGCCTTTTACTACCGCTTGCTGTTGTTTTTGTTTTTTGTGCTGGTGGTGCAGATGCTGCGGGAGCAAACAACAACAACAAGTCGTATTTTATACCCGTGTGGGATACTCTCGGCTGCCACCGCAGAGCCCCACCTCCCCCTTCCCCCCCCTTCCCCCGCCCCTCCTCGCCCCCCCCCCCCCCCCCCCCCCCCGTGGGGATGAACACTTTGTCCCGCGAGATGGCGGTCGCGGAAGCGAGCGCGCCGCGTGGCTCCTCCAGGTACGAGGGGGAAATGACTCTGGCAGTGTGCGCCCGCCCTCAAACTAATTAAAATACTACCACGACTTGTCTAATTTGTGCGTGAAAAATCACGTGATTAGTAACCAACTTGAATGCACGCAATAATTAAAGGTACACATTAAATGTCTTTTGCACTAAGTTT